TTGTAAGGTATGAGGGGAAAACAAATGTGCCTGTGATTTACAGAGGTCCCGATGCAGCGAAAAAAGTTCCTAGAATATCTACCAAATTAAATGAAGATAGAATAATCAGGGACAATGTATCGCGTCAGAAACCCATCTGTATGACGAGGGATGATTGGAGGGCCTATAAGAAATCAACGAGTTGCATTACCATGTCACGGGTAATTATCGGGGAGCATAACTAGTGTAACTTGAAACTGAAAATGAATTCTCAAACAATACCCATCCACACTGTGTTTCATAACCTTAGAGGATATGATTCTCATCTCATGAAGCAAGCTATCTCAAAGACCAACGGTGGCTTAACGTGCATTCCTAATAAAATGGAAAAATATATGTCATTCTCATTGACTAAAACTATACATTATACGGACAAGGATGGGAAAGCGGGAAAAAAACAAAGTAATGGACTTAGATTTATAGACTCCGTACAGTTTCTGGATAATTTAGCTAATGCAGACATTCTCGATGACTTTGCAATAACAAATCAATATACTGATCGGTGGCGGCATTTGTTGCTGAGAAATAGAGGTTATCATGCGAGTGTGTTTGGGGATGGTAAATATCCTGTATTAGGAATAAACATTGTATTTAGCGAGCCTTGGATATTTACCATCCCCAAACACACAAGCGTGATAACCTCTTTATCATATAATGTCATTCTTTAATTTTGTGTTTGGAAATCGCTTTCCCTCCCTCACAAACATTACATTAACATTGCGAGTTTTCCTGGAATGCGCGCATTAATATTTATTACGTCACAGGGTAAGTGATGTGTCAGTCGGACATTGACAGTAGCCAATATAGTTCCAACTGAAATCTGTTTCTTTTACAGTGGCGAAGCAAAATATACGCATAACAACAACAAAATTTACTTGCATTTCGCGGCAATCCATCGGTCTGTCCGCTAGAGTAACTGCCCTTTGTCAAAGGGAAGCTACTCTTACCCTAGTCTATGAGACGTCATGGCCACGATCAGACATTGTTGACAGTCGGCCTGTCCTGTCAAAACGTTTGAAGTGCAATCAGATGTACACACAGCGACAAAACGAAAGAAGGTAACAATTCAAATATATTTCGGCCAAATCCAACTATTTTAATTTGTGGAAAAGGTTTCAAGCCGCAGAGGTCTACAAGCACAGATATGGCTACTGACCCCGCTTGGCTAGGGCTAGTGCCCTCGCAAAATTGTTTCGAAATTTAAATGTCCAAAGTTGCCAAAACTTATAAAATGCCTTAGCGACGTCACAGTTAGACACTGATTTTAAGTATATTAGACTGTTTTTTTGCTTATGAAAGCAATTATCTCTGTAGTTTATCCAGATTCCCGATGGTTAATTCTGACTCGATCGCCGAATGACAAGGGCGACGCCATGTTTGTTTATAAACACAAAAAGTAGTCCCTACTTGACCTTTGATATTTGCATCTCTATCCGCATATGACCCCAACGGATATCGTTTTTATCCGTTGGCTTTATCCTGCCGAGAAACCTACCCATTATATGATAAAAGGTGTATATCCTTACGAATATATGGATGATTGGTGTAGATTCGACATAACTAAATTGCCACTTGTTGAATCATTCTATTGTGACTTAACAGAATCTAATACCGATGCCGATAATGAACACGCTCTAACGGTGTGGGATAAACTAGGTTGTAAGAATTAAGGTTATTATCACGATGTGTACTTAAAAACTGATGTACTGTTACTCGCCGATTTATTGGAGATATTTAGAAAGACATGTTTAAAACAATACGGCTTGGATCCGGCATGGTACTATTCCAGTCCCGGACTATCGTGGGATGCATTGTTGAAGAACACTGGTGTAGAATTAAACTTACTCGCCGATTATGATATGCAGTTGTTTGTTGACAAAGGATAAAGAGGTGGTATATCAATGATGGCGAAAAGGTATTCTAAGGCTAATAATAAATCAGTGGAAGGATATGTTTCGAGTAAACCTGATATGCACATATTATATCTCAACGCAAACAATGTGTACTAATGGGCTATGAGTCAACCTTTACCCACGGGTGGTTTGGAGTGGGTAAAACATATCGATGTGAATGATATCCAACAGATTCCGATAAAAGCTACATACTAGAAGTTGACTTAGAATATCCAGCAGAGTTACACAAAGACCATAAAAGGTATCCGCTAGCTCCCGAAAGATTAATGGTTAATCGATATTGGATGTCGGAATATCAACACTCCTTAGATTGGCAATACTAGGTTAGCTAACGTAGAAAAACTCGCGCCAAATTTGATGGATAAGACAAAATATATTGTCCACTTCAGAAATCTCCAGTTATATCTATGGCAAGGCATGAAAATTAAGAAAATACACAGAGTTCTTAAGTTTGATGAAAGACCTTGGATGGAGCCCTATATAAGGCTGAACACAGATTTAAGAAAGATAGCTACCAGCGATTTCGAAAAGAACCTATATAAGCGCATGAATAACACCGCAAAACTATGGAGAATCTAAGGAAGCGTGTTGATGTTAAATTGGTCAGATCTAATGAGGAAGAAAGACTTAGGAAACTTATAGCCAGTCCGGCTTTTAACAGAAGCAAGATATTCGATAATATAAAATTCAACAGACCGGTGTACGATGGTATGGGTATTCTTGACTTGTCAAAACACTTAATGTATGACTTTCATTACAACGAACTTACTCGTAAGAAGCAATACGGCGATAAATGTGAGGTGTTATATACCGATATTGATTCTTTGTTGATGGAAATACAAACCAAGGATGTGTATAAAGACATGGCAAAAAAAATGGATATGTACAATACGAGAGTTTACCCAAAAGATGATCCACTGCACAGCGCGGTAAATAAAAAGGTGTAAGGTAAGATGAAGGATCAATGTGCTGGAACTCCTATTGTGGAGTATGGCGGATTAAGACCTAAGATGTATTCTATAAAGAAAACATATCAAACACGAACAGTATAAAGAAGCACTATTCAATGGTAGAACATTCAAACACGAGATGAACACTTTAATAAGTGTCAGTCACAGGATATATATATGGATTAAGAATTAACGATACATCATTATCCCCCTTTGATACACAGAGGTGGATTGATAAGGACGGTGTAACTACCTATGCTTATGGTTATGGTGGTAATACTGTATCGTTGGGAACTATGAGCAACTCTTCTGGAACAAATCCCCGGGCCAGTCCATCTTTACGATAATACAGAATAGGCTCTCCTACTTTCATAACCAACCGACTAATGGTATATATCTTAAGGGACCAAATCAGATCGGTTGCACGACGTTGGCCTCCTTCGAGTTCACCGGGCTGGTATAAATATCTTACGTTTACTCTATAAGTTTTTGTTCTTTGCCTCTCCTCAGGGCTGAAGATTAGAAAGTCACAGATTTCATTTGAATCCCATCGGATGGTTTCTTCCCTATTAATCTCGTTAGTTCATTATTCAGAGCTGATACAACAGCTGATAATCGTGTCACCCATTCGGTTGATCTTAATCGTTCCGATTTCATTTCGAATCCATACTGATATCCAAACAAACGTTCGGCTAATGTCCGGTTATATCTTTCAACAATAGCTTGGCTACGATGGGCCTCTTTTTCATCACGCCTGACTGCGACACCGTGCTTTGTTAATAGTTTAGTTACCGATCCCATAAACTCGCAACCAGGATCAACATGAAACATGTTAGGCCATTTTAGTGGTCCACGTTTATATATGCGGCTCAGTGCATTAGCTACTTCTGTTGAATCTTTCGCGGTTAATGGCTCAGCCTCTTTGTTCTGACCAGCCACATCTACTACGGTTAAAGCGTATTTATATGTTTTACGTCTCTCCTATCATGGGGGAGAAACAAGAGGTCAGCCTTCTTCAAACTTCTTTCTCGGTGTATAACGCGGGTCTGGTAAATATATTTGCCACATCGCTTGTTTCTTTAACCAATCCTTGGCTACATCTTTAGATACCTTAGCCACAGTGGCTAATTTTTGTATTGCCCCTGTACCTTGCAAATATCCTCGTAGGCTAAAGTAACTTTTTATCTATTATTAATTAATATTGATATTTCTTTTAAAACAAGTCATGACGTTGAATCGCTTCGTGGCTTTTGCATAAAAATTACCCCTGGAGTATAGGTATTGGGGTATATATCTGGCTCCAGTGGAGTTGCGGTAGAACCCCCATTACCTATAAAAATATATATCATAGAAGCATTGATAGGGTTCATGAATGGCTCGGGTGGCGGTGAGCCAGAACCCTTTTCAATACAATTTAGCTTAGTCTCATGACGATTATTGGTGTGCATCGTCGGTTCGGCATAAAAAATTACCCCTGTAGTATAGGTATTGGGGTATAAATCTGGCCCCAGTGGTGTTGTGGTAGAACCACCATTACCTATACTACTTGCAAAGGATAACGATATATATATTCACGATTTTCTCACCTGTTGTTCACAAGGAGCGTTTTGGGGAACATTTAGTCAAATTTCAAGGTGAGTAGTTTATTATTGGATTGAGGATTTTATTCATTAAATAGTATTTGCAATATTGTAGATATTGTTTGTATTTGGATATTTGTGTGTTTAGACACGAATAGACGGAATATGGATTCGTGATTATTATTGATTTAAACAACCGAATAAGTATCCTAAATTTATTGAAATATGTATAAGCGTTGAACTAAAATGTAATATTTGTATTTTTAGAAGTAACAGTTGAGTTTATTTGTGATATAGCAGGTAAGTCTGAGCAAGCATGTATGTGATGAATGAATGTAGGTAAGCTTAAAAGAATGATTGATGGTAAGCATGAATGAATGAATGAATGAATGAATGAATGAATGAAGGTAAGCATACATGAATGAATGAAAAGTTATAAATGAATGAATGAAAGCAGGAATGCATGTGGCATGTTATAGTATTGCTCTATCGTGTTCAGCTATATGTAGACATGTATATATGATAGAAAACATTTATTCTTATTGGCATGTCTGCGTGTACTGTATATCAGTAATGTTATTTCCTCTGCTGACGAGTTTTGCACTACTGTGCAGAAACCTAGCGCGGTATCGTCCCCAGGTGTGATATCAACCCAGGCCCACACACCTGGTAGGTTTACATGTCGTTTACATGTCATTGATGTACTGTTTATTTGTAATTTATTAACCAGTGCATTCTCAACAACTTTACGTCCTGTCTCTTATCGTATTACATGTGTCTATCTGTGTTTATAATACGTGCACGTGTATATTGTTTTATATGTGTTATATTGTAGGCCCGATTGTTTCAGGTTGTTTTGTTCACATTCAAGCTGTCTGGAAATAAAAATTGGCCATCGAAGAACACAGTAGCGTCTGTGGTCTGTGCTCGTCGGACGCAGTCCTGCTACACAAGTAGAACAATAAGTTAACAGTTGTCCTACAAGGTGACGTCAGTCTTGTCTGATCGCCGCGTTTGTGGAGTTCATCTCAGAAGTCGGACATATCCGTTGAGTTAATGACACAGGCGGCCTCCGTGGTGGTCATCTGGCTGATGGCAGCTCGTCTGTTGTCCAGCACCCACGTGTCCCGGTACTCTAGCATGGTGTACAGTTATTGAGAATCCATCTTTCCCAATGCACTTAGAGTTCGCTGTTCCGAATGCACTGGTATATACAGATACCATATGGTGTCTGTTTATAGTATACAGATCATTGATGGAATTCAAGTGCTGAGTATGAGAATATTTCAGTTCATAGATGGAAGAGTTCCAATGCCATGTGACTGGTGTCAAGGGCGCTCACTTGTGGTATCCGAGCTGGCGTCCACGGCTGGAGTTATCGCAGCATATATGAACAGAGAGTTTATATATGTACATATGCTTCTTCCTGATCGTCAGTGTTGCTACTGTTGCCACTTGGATACCATTGAACTGAAACAGGAAAAATAGTTCTCAGATATATCACACACAAACGGGGAAACACTCTGATATATAAAACATAGTCATTACCTAAAGCATTGTTTAGTTATCATTTCCCTCGTGCCCCCTGAATGCCCAGGAGGGCAACCTGCCGTGGATGTGTCTCACCAGTAACAATAATTGCTACAGCGAAACACTGACGGATTTTGTAATTGACGTGGCTATATCAAGCCGACGAACATAATCACTCTTATATCTTACAATATAAGTGTATTACTGAACTTACCTATAATAGTTCATATCTATATCCACTTGAATCCAGGTATAGAATGGTTTATATTTCCGGTGAATAATCTTGTATTTCAGTGACGTCAGCCCATCCTCTGCCATGCGTTTTTCCGCCGTCTCGAGTAGCGCGAGCCTGTATGAGATGAAGGTCACATGGAAGGTGATGCTGATATATGACGTCAATGTCAGAGAACAATCTTCTCTATTAACTGCCGATACAGATTCCATTAAGCGTAAAAGGCAAAATAGAGAAAAACAGTGATGATACCAGGGTAAGCATGACCTGCTCTACTTGTAGTACCCGCCAGCCACGCAATTTGCATCAAAGAGAAAGCGTTTGTTTTGTTGTTGTTTCCTTGTTGCCTGAGACAGTCGAAAGAACATCCATACTGACTGAACGTTAGTATAGAGGGTCCATGACTGTACACGGAGACAGTCCTTACAACATCCGTACTGAATGAACGTTAGTATAGAGGGCCCATGACTGTACACGGAGACAGTCCTAACAACATCAGTACTGACTGAACGTTAGTATAGAGGGTCCATGACTGTACACGGAGACAGTCGTAACAACATCCGTACTGAATGAACGTTAGTATAGAGGGTCCATGACTGTACACGGAGACAGTCGTAACAACATCCGTACTGAATGAACGTTAGTATAGAGGGTCCATGACTGTACACGGAGACAGTCCTAACAACAACAGTACTGACTGAACGTTAGTATAGAGGGTCCATGACTGTACACGGAGACAGTCCTAACAACAACCGTACTGACTGAACGTTAGTATAGAGGGTCCATGACTGTACACGGAGATAGTCCTAACAACAACCGTACTGACTGAACGTTAGTATATAAGGGCCGTGACTGTACACGGAGACAGTCGTAACAACATCCGTACTGAATGAACGTTAGTATAGAGGGTCCATGACTGTACACGGAGACAGTCGTAACAACATCCGTACTGAATGAACGTTAGTATAGAAGGTCCATGACTGTACACGGAGACAGTCCTAACAACAACAGTACTGACTGAACGTTAGTATAGAGGGTCCATGACTGTACACGGAGACAGTCCTAACAACAACAGTACTGACTGAACGTTAGTTTAGAGGGTCCATGACTGTACACGGAGACAGTCCTAACAACATCCGTACTGAATGAACGTTAGTATATAAGGGCCGTGACTGTACACGGAGACAGTCGTAACAACATCCGTACTGAATGAACGTTAGTATAGAGGGTCCATGACTGTACACGGAGACAGTCGTAACAACATCCGTACTGAATGAACGTTAGTATAGAAGGTCCATGACTGTACACGGAGACAGTCCTAACAACAACAGTACTGACTGAACGTTAGTATAGAGGGTCCATGACTGTACACGGAGACAGTCCTAACAACAACAGTACTGACTGAACGTTAGTTTAGAGGGTCCATGACTGTACACGGAGACAGTCCTAACAACATCCGTACTGAATGAACGTTAGTATATAAGGGCCGTGACTGTACACGGAGACAGTCGTAACAACATCCGTACTGAATGAACGTTAGTATAGAGGGTCCATGACTGTACACGGAGACAGTCCTAACAACATCCGTACTGACTGAACGTTAGTATAGAAGGGCCGTGACTGTACACGGAGACAGTCGTAACAACATCCGTACTGAATGAACGTTAGTATAGAGGGTCCATGACTGTACACGGAGACAGTCCTAACAACATCCGTACAGACTGAACGTTAGTATAGAAGGTCCATGACTGTACATGGAGACAGTCCTTACAACAGCCGTACTGACTGAACGTTGGTATAGAGGGTCCATGACTGTACACGGAGACAGTCCTAACAACAACCGTACTGACTGAACGTTAGTATAGAAGGGCCGTGACTGTACACGGAGACAGTCCTAACAACAACCGTACTGACTGAACGTTAGTATAGAAGAGCCGTGACTGTACACGGAGACAGTCCTAACAACATCCGTACTGACTGAACGTTAGTATAGAGGGGCCGTGACTGTACACGGAGACAGTCGTAACAACATCCGTACTGAATGAACGTTAGTATAGAGGGTCCATGACTGTACACGGAGACAGTCCTAACAACATCCGTACAGACTGAACGTTAGTATAGAAGGTCCATGACTGTACATGGAGACAGTCCTTACAACAGCCGTACTGACTGAACGTTGGTATAGAGGGTCCATGACTGTACACGGAGACAGTCCTAACAACAACCGTACTGACTGAACGTTAGTATAGAAGGGCCGTGACTGTACACGGAGACAGTCCTAACAACAACCGTACTGACTGAACGTTAGTATAGAAGAGCCGTGACTGTACACGGAGACAGTCCTAACAACATCCGTACTGACTGAACGTTAGTATAAAAGGGCCGTTACTGTACACGGAGACAGTCCTAACAACATCCGTACTGACTGAACGTTAGTATAGAGGGCCCATGACTGTACACAGAGACAGTCTAATCAACATCCGTACTGACTGAACGTTAGTATAGAGGGCCCATGACTGTACACAGAGACAGTCTAATCAACATCCGTACTGACTGAACGTTAGTATAGAGGGCCCATGACTGTACACAGAGACAGTCTAATCAACATCCGTACTGACTGAACGTTAGTATAGAGGGTCCATGACTGTACACGGAGACAGTCGTAACAACATCCGTACTGACTGAACGTTAGTATAGATGGTCCATGACTGTACACGGAGGCAGTCCTAACAACATCCGTACTGACTGAACGTTAGTATAGAGGGTCCATGACTGTACACGGAGACAGTCCTAAGAACAACCGTACTGACTGAACGTTAGTATAGAGGTGCCGTGACTGTACACGGAGGCAGTCCTAACAACAACCGTACTGACTGAACGTTAGTATAGAAGGGCCGTGACTGTACACGGAGACAGTCCTAACAACAACCGTACTGACTGAACGTTAGTATAGAAGGGCCGTGACTGTACACGGAGACAGTCTAAACAATACACCAATACAGACGGGATTCAGTCATAGTCAGGGCTAAACAATGCATTAATATAGTCGGGATTCAGTCATAGGCAGGGCTAAACAATGCATTAATATAGTCGGGATTAAGTCATAGTCAGGGCTAAACAATACACCAGTAGTCGGTATTCAGTCATAGTCAGGGCTAAACAATGCATTAATATAGTCGGGATTCAGTCATAGGCAGGACTAAACAATACATCAGTATAGTCGGAATTCAGTCGTAGGCAGGGCTAAACAATGCATTAATATAGTCGGGATTCAGTCATAGGCAGGGCTAAACAATACATCAGTATAGTCGGAATTCAGTCGTAGGCAGGGTTTAAAAAATATACAAATATAGGCGGGATTCAATCAAAGGGAAGGCTGAACAATACACCAATACAGTCGGGATTTAGTTATAGGCAGGGCTAAACAATACTCCAGTAGTCGGTATTCAGTCATAGGCAGGGTTCAACAACACATCAATATAGCCAGGAGTCAGTCGTAGGCTGGGCTAAACAATACACCAGTAGTCTGGATTCAGTCATAGGCAGGGTTAAACAAAACACAATTTTAAAGTCGGGATTCAGTCATAGGCAGGGCGAATCAATACACCAATATAGCCATGACTTCGTCATAGGCAGGGCTAAACAATACACCACTATCGTCGGGATTTAGTCATAGGCAGGGCGAATCAATACACCAATATAGCCATGACTTCGTCATAGGCAGGGCTAAACAATACACCACTATCGTCGGGATTCAGTCATAGGCAGGGCGAATCAATACACCAATATAGCCATGACTTCGTCATAGGCAGGGCTAAACAATACACCACTATCGTCGGGATTCAGTCATAGGCAGGGCGAATCAATACACTAATAAAGCCATGACTTCGTCATAGGCAGGGCTAAACAATACACCACTATCGTCGGAATTTAGTCATAGGCAGGGCTTAACAGTACACTAATATGGTAGGCATGCAGTCATAGTAGTGATATTCAGGGCAGAGTGTTGGCGATTACAGATAGCTATGATGTAGCTATGATGTTGCTTACAACAGGCCGTCATGATGTAGCTATGATATTGCTGACTACAGGCCGCTGTGATGTAGCCATGATATTGCTGACTACAGGCCGCTGTGATGTAGCTATGATATTGCTGACTACAGGCCGCTGTGATGTTGCTATGATATTGCTGACTACAGGCCGCTGTGATGTAGCCATGATATTGCTGACTACAGGCCGCTGTGATGTTGCTATGATATTGCTGACTACAGGCCGCTGTGATGTTGTTATGATATTGCTGACTACAGGCCGCTGTGATGTTGCTATGATGTTGCTGACTACAGGCCGTCATGATGTAGCTATGATATTGCTGACTACAGGCCGCTGTGATGTATCTATGATGTTGCTGACTACAGGCCGTCATGATGTAGCTATGATATTGCTGACTACAGGCCGTCATGATGTAGTTATGATGTTGCTGACTACAGGCCGTCATGATGTAGCTATGATATTGCTGACTACAGGCCGTCATGATGTAGCTATGATGTTGCTGACTACGGGCCGTCATGATGTAGCTATGATATTGCTGACTACAGGCCGTCATGATGTAGCTATGACATTGCTGACTACAGGCCGTCATGATGTAGCTATGATGTTGCTGACTACGGGCCGTCATGATGTAGCTATGATATTGCTGACTACAGGCCGTCATGATGTAGCTATGATGTTGCTGACTACGGGCCGTCATGATGTAGCTATGATATTGCTGACTACAGGCCGTCATGATGTAGCTATGATATTGCTGACTACAGGCCGTCATGATGTAGCTATGATGTTGCTGACTACGGGCCGTCATGATGTAGCTATGATATTGCTGACTACAGGCCGTCATGATGTAGCTATGATATTGCTGACTACGGGCCGTCATGATGTAGCTATGATATTGCTGACTACAGGCCGTCATGATGTTGCTATGATATTGCTGACTACAGGCCGTCATGATGTAGCTATGATTTTGCTGACTACGGGCCGTCATGATGTAGCTATGATGTTACTGACTACGGGCCGTCATGATGTAGCTATGATATTGCTGACTACAGGCCGTCATGATGTACTATGATGTTGCTGACTACAGGCCGTCATGATGTAGCTATGATGTTGCTGACTACGGGCCGTCATGATGTAGCTATGATATTGCTGACTACAGGCCGTCATGATGTAGCTATGATGTTGCTGACTACGGGCCGTCATGATGTAGCTATGATATTCCTGACTACAGGCCGTCATGATGTAGCTATGATATTGCTGACTACAGGCCGTCATGATGTAGCTATGATGTTGCTGACTACGGGCCGCTGTGATGTAGCCATGATATTGCTGACTACAGGCCGCTGTGATGTAGCCATGATATTGCTGACTACAGGCCGCTGTGATATTGCTATGATATTGCTTACAACAGGCCGTCATGATGTTGCTATGATATTGCTGACTACGGGCCGCTGTGATGTTGCCATGATATTGCTGACTACAGGCCGCTGTGATGTTGCTATGATATTGCTTACAACAGGCTGTCTGTACATTGACCAGTATGATGGATATACCTACCGTATGTCGCTCACTGGGTTGCCTATATCGTCGGCGTGGTTCAAAGCGATGTATCGTCCAATCGCAGGAGGGTAGCGGGACATAGGGTGGTGCTTCCACTGTAACCTGTCCCAGATTGGTGGACAAAAGGACAAAATAACTATGACTACAGGAAACAACCATCCACTGAAAGGACAGGGGCGATAACACAACAATAACACAGACATGGAGCCACGGTAATAGTGGAAAGTAATAGTGCAATGATTATGCCACATTGTAACAAGACCATTCAATAACACGTCTAATCCAAATAAAGAATATGTGACGTTCAATGTGTCCATACATATGCTGACATTACCGTATTACCTATATTACGGACTGTACCATGGCTTTCACATGTCTTGACATTACATATTACCTATATTACAGACTGTACCATGGCTGTCACATGTCTTGACATTACATATTACCTATATTACAGACTGTACCATGACTGTCACATGTCTTGACATTACATATTACCTATATTACAGACTGTACCATGGCTGTCACATGTCTTGACATTACATATTACCTATATTACAGACTGTACCATGGCTGTCACATGTCTTGACATTACATATTACCTATATTACAGACTGTACCATGACTGTCACATGTCTTGACATTACATATTACCTATATTACAGACTGTACCATGGCTGTCACATGTCTTGACATTACATATTACCTATATTACAGACTGTACCATGGCTGTCACATGTCTTGACATTACATATTACCTATATTACAGACTGTACCATGACTGTCACATGTCTTGACATTACATATTACCTATATTACAGACTGTACCATGGCTGTCACATGTCTTGACATTACATATTACCTATATTACAGACTGTACCATGGCTGTCACATGTCTTGACATTACATATTACCTATATTACAGACTGTACCATGGCTGTCACATGTCTTGACATTACATATTACCTTAACTAAGCGGCAAAAGAAAGTATAGGTTGGCAATTTGTAATTTTCCTAAAAACAGCGATAACTAGTGGAAAGTGGGTATTGGGAATATGGCTGCCCAAAAAACACCTCACCCGAACGCGCCACCTATGACGGCGCTCGTGCGGTGACTAAAAAATGGTGAAACAGGTCTCCCGCCTATGGCATAAACTGCACGTGCATGTTAGCTGTATAAATGCGTTCGTCTGCAGGGTATAACCACACGTGATGAAAGTACACAAAAGAAATGCCACGACTGTCACAGAAGCAGAGAGAGCCATCGGTATGGCCGAAATGGAGGCATCACAGGTCCAAATTGCCAGGTTTGGTTGTACACCATTGACAGTATCCAGGCTGATTCAACGGTACAGGCAGACAGGGAGGACACAGGACAGGCCTAGAACCGGACGACCCCGAGTGACAACACCACTGGAAGACGGTCAGATACGGCTCATTCACCTGCGAAACAGATTCGTAACGACGACGGCGACGGCAGCAACAGCGTTGGGACATCATATTAGCCAACGTACAGTACTACGACGACTTCGTGCTGCTGGAATCCGAGCGTATCGTCCTTTCCGAGGAATGGTACTGACTGCTTAACATCGACGCCTGAGACTGCGATGGGCGAGGCAGGTTCGACGCTGGCAAGTGAGAAATTGGCGTCGAGTGCTGTTTACTGATGAAAGTCGGTTTAACTTGTTTCGAAATGATGTCAGAGAACGAGTTTATCGATGCAGGGGGAACGTTTGGCTCCGGCGTGTATTCGAGAGGTCCATCCATTTGGCGGGGGAGGTGTCATGGTGTGGGGCGGTATTTGTGGAGATCAGAAGACTGATTTTGTGATTATACAGGGAAACCTGAACACTGTGCAGTACAGAGACCAAGTTGTGCTTCCGTTCTTACAAAACCAACAGCAGGGGACATTGTTTCAACACGACAATGACAGGCCCCATACTGCAAGACTTTCTGAACTTTCTAAACCAGCAGAACGTTGACGTTTTGCCCTGGCCTGCCCACTCACCCGATATGAATCCTTTTGAATATCTGTGGGACCATCTTAACAGACAGATTAGAACCATCAGCCATCAGCCTCCCGCCAACAGACAATAATTGCAGCAGGCCCGGAGAGACGAGTGGCAACGGATTCCAGTCCACGTCATCAGAAGACTGACGTCATCTATGAGGCGGCGTATCACAGCACGTGCATTGGGGCAGCTGGAGGTCATACACGCTATTGAAGGCAACTGTGTCGAAAATGAACTTGTAGTGTGTCTGACAGTTTTGGTGACATTTCAGGCAACTTTTGAAAATGAAATTTCTTACCCCACCATTGTTAACCTTGAGCTTACATTACCTGTGATTGCACAATTTCATTCAAACTGTGGTTGATCAATCATTTGTTACCACTCCCTAGATTATATTACAATGAAAATACGGTAATGTCGGGAATTGAACCCGGGTCTTCGGCGCGACGAGCGAACGCTTTAACTTAACTAGGTTACCCGACCGCCCTATTACCTATATAACAGACTGCATCTTGGCTGTCCCGTGTCTTGACATTACCGTATTACCTATATAACAAGTCATCATCTTCTCCTCCCCAACCGAAGTATAGATTTGAGTGGCCATTTACATGTTGATACACGTCACGTGACACGGCAACAACTCCTCCGGCATATTCGTGAAACGATATACTGGAAATACAAAGAGATTTATGGTCAAAGGGAGGTAACTCTTTGGACGGGTGCGCTACCACTGAAATGCCTACTGGAATCACAGTGAGTGAGTTGTGTTTAACGCCGCTTTTAACACTATTCCAGTTATATCGCGGCGTGTCAGCTTAATGTGGGAGGAAAACCCGAAGTGATGCAGGTCTCAGACGTTTACCACTTCGGTGAAACCCACGAGCACGGGTATGGTGCTGACAAACCTAGAAACATAATCGGGGCGAGCCGGTTTCTGGCGTGCCCAAGGGACGCAACTCTGACCAGCGAATCGCGGCGCCTTAGACGATTGGGCCACCCGTGCCCCCTTTTGGAATCACAAAGAGATGTGTGAGGATGAAGGCTCGTTCGCTGAAGAAATATTACAACAGTATTGCTTATAAACAAAGAAATAATATTGCCGTTGTATTTCAATACAAATTGAACAAATATTGCAGTACTATTTAAACTTAAAATGAATATACATTTCTGTCGTATTTTAATATTCATAAAACGAATAATTGTTGATTTTGTATTTCAACAAGAGATGAAGAAGTATTGACGTATTTCAGCGGCGTATAAGTTTGTTGTTCCATGGCGTCATGATATCAATGTGTTGGTCATGGCTTAGGTTAACGAAGGCTGCGTCCTTTATCATTCTCTCAGACGCCATATAGAGGTTAACATAACTGTCGAGAGTCACTAAACTGTTACCATAGTAACACAGGTGGGATTAAATATTATACTCGTTTCAATTGGAAGAAATTAGCAAGTCTCGGGCACACAGAAATATTTCACTGATGGTATAGCTTAAATCTTCTGTATGAGGCTCCGTATTTACCAATCAAACTTTGTAAATTCCAAAGTACCGTCACAACTCGTGTGGCATTAAGGTGTTTGCCATCACAATTAAATGTGATTGTTATAAAGATGTATCGAATGGGCTATGAAGTCCTTTCATGGAAAATTACCGAATGGTGTTAAGTGACGAAGGTGAGGCCCAGATTTCCACAAGTCTCTAAGGCAATAATTATAAGCTTAAATCATTATTTCTAGTTATAATCATATTTTCTAGATTATATAAACAATATGAACATGAGACTGGCGATCTTGATTTGCCTATTACAAAGATAGAATATACACCCAGGGACTTATCATTCAGTACAGCCTTGGAGCAAGGCTACCTGAGGCCCCGTGTCGATAGTATGGGTGTATAACTCTTTATGTTCTCCGGGGCATGTCGTAGCAAGTGGGGCGGTCGTGTAGCCTAGTGGTTAAAGCGTTCGCTCGTCACGCCGAAGACCCGGGCTCGATTCCCGACATGGGTACAATGTGTGAAGCCCATTTCTGGTGTCCCCCGTCGTGATATTGATGGAATATTCCTAAAAGCGGCGTAAAACCATACTCACTCACTCACTCACTCACTCGTAGCAAGTACATGCTTTCCTGGATGTACTCTACGTAGCTCGGACTTCCTCCAGTGCCGTCATGTGATCATACACAATATTTCTATATTTAATTATGCTGGGGAATTGAAAAAAAGGATTTTTCAGGAAAGTGGAATCCGTATGTCTGTCGTTGCTGAAATACCGTCTCGTGAAAATCCGACATTCACACACTTATGGAGTCATTGGAGTAGCCTGTGGTCCAGTCGGGAATTCGTTTGTCGTGGAAACTTCACATAGAAAGATATATTAACCGGTTATATCCTATAATAACAGCTTTAGCGAAAGACAGCCATGTGTCTGAGTGTGGCACCACACATCTATATAGCTAGGTTCAGGGTGGGAACCTACTTGTCAAGTTTGCTGTTGGACACAGCCATGTGTCTGGGCGTGGCACCACACGTCTAGGATCTGGGCTAGTTTAGGTGGGAACCTACTTGTCAAGTTTGCTGTTGGACACAGCCATGTGTCTGGGTGTGGCACCACACATCTAGGGTCTGGGCTAGATAAGGTGGGAACCTACTTGTCAAGTTTGCTGTTGGACACAGCCATGTGTCTGGGTGTGGCACCACACGTCTAGGATCTGGGCTAGATAAGGTGGGAACCTACTTGTCAAGTTTGCTGTTGGACACAGCCATGTGTCTGGGTGTGGCACCACACGTCTAGGATCTGGGCTAGATAAGGTGGGAACCTACTTGTCAAGTTTGCTGTTGGACACAGCCATGTGTCTGGGTGTGGCACCACACGTCTAGGATCTGAGCTAGATAAGGTGGGAACCTACTTGTCAAGTTTGCTGTTGGACACAGCCATGTGTCTGGGCGTGGCACCACATGTCTAGGATGTGGGCTAGATAAGGTGGGAACCTACTTGTCAAGTTTGCTGTTGGACACAGCCATGTGTCTGGGTGTGGCACCACACGTCTAGGATCTGGGCTAGATAAGGTGGGAACCTACTTGTCAAGTTTGCTGTTGGACACAGCCATGTGTCTGGGTGTGGCACCACACGTCTAGGATCTGGGCTAGATAAGGTGGGAACCTACTTGTCAAGTTTGCTGTTGGACACAGCCATGTGTCTGGGCGTGGCACCACATCGGTAGAGGTTGTGGTCTGTCACCGGCAAGAGATCCACATCGTGGAAGATAAAGCAGGTAAAGTTGTAAGTCTTGAGAGCCTCCACAAAGCCGATGTTCATCAGGAGGGCTCTGTTAAACGTCACGTTGGGCAGCTACAGCAGAAAGGTGCGTGCGTATTTAGGGGCTATCATAAATATACACAGTATGAGAGCATTTGCACAACTATGATAGAATATCATATACTTACATATGGGATAATTACTCAAATATGACATCCATGGGACTGTTACAACCGACCAGTATATGCTTATTTAGTGACTAATACGAGGGCTGGTCAAAAAGTAAAACAGAACTAATAATTGTGAAAGTGTTTTTAATATATTTGATTTCAGCATAATCTCCCTGCTTTTCAATACACTTGTCACATCGATAGTGAAGCTTTCCATTATAGTGAGGATGAATCCACCCTGAACAACCCATTCACGGCAGTTCCTCACGTCATCCTTGTCATAGCGCTTTTCGGGGGCGGTCGGGTAGCAAAGTGGTTCGTCACGCCGAAGTCCCGGGTTCGATTCTGACATGGGTACAATGTGTGAAGCCCATTTCTGGTGTCCCCTGCCGTGATATTGTTCTGTCAGTTTGTGAAACAGGCGGAAATCTCTTGGTGACAGGTCTGGCGCGTATGGAGGGTGAGGGTGCTCTTCGAACCCACATTCTGTCACACAGCAGACTTTGCAAGCGAGAGATGTGAGAAGGGCAAGGTCATGAAGATGTAGAACTCCAGCAGTCAACATTCCTCGACGCTTTTCTTTGATAGAATCTCTCAGGCGATAAAGAAAATCAGCATAGAAGGTACCGTAATCACCTCGTGATTTTCAAAGTAATCAGCATGGATCACACCCTTTGCATCCTATAATATACTGGCCATAACCTTCTTTACTGATCTTGAATACTTGAATTTCATTAGTGCCGGGGAAGTTAGATGGTGCCATTCCAGGGATTGACGTTTTGACTCGGGATTGTACTGGTAGACCCATGTTTCATCACCAGTTACTAATATCTCCTTGAATTTGACTAAATCCTCCTCAATTAGCTCTAATTTTTCTCTGGCAATGTCAGTTCTTTTTTCTAAAGTAAAAGAAAACTTTATGACTGCTCGGTTCTCGTGTTCTTTTCCATTTCTCTATCCGTTTGGACCCCTATTGCGTTCAAATGGCTGTCACTAAAACGGCCTCAACAGACTAAATACATTTGCAATAAACTACTAAATGTACTTCATTGACTAGTTCACTTTGTTATGACCCATAGTTGAAAGTTAGTCAGGTTTAGAACGTTTTCACCAGCCCTCGTATAAGTGACCAAGGGGCAGCTAGCTACAACAGAATACCTAATGCTTATCTATGAGCTTTGGCCCTCTCACCCGATCTACCACAACAATGTCATAAGGGATCTCTCACCCACCCTACCACAACAATGTCATAATGGATCTCTCACCCACCCTACCACAACAATGTCATAATGGATCTCTCACCCACCCTACCACAACAATGCCATAATGGATCTCTCACCCACTCTACCACAACAATGTCATAATGGATCTCTCACCCACTCTACCACAACAATGTCATGATGGATCTCTCACCCACTCTACCACAACAATGTCATAATGGATCTCTCACCCACTCTACCACAACAATGTCATAATGGATCTCTCACCCACTCTACCACAACAATGTCATAATGGATCTCTCACCCACTCTACCATAACAATGTCATGATGGATCTCTCACCCATCCTACCACAACAATGTCATAATGGATCTCTCGTCCACTCTACCACAACAATGTCATGATGGATCTCTCACCCACTCTACCACAACAATGTCATGATGGATCTCTCACCCACTCTACCACAACAATGTCATGATGGATCTCTCGTCCACTCTACCACAACAATGTCATGATGGATCTCTCACCCACTCTACCACAACAATGTCATGATGGATCTCTCACCCGCTTTATGACAAAAATGTCATAATGGATCTCTCACCCACTCTACAACAACGATGTCATGATGGATCTCTCACCCACCCTATCACAACAATGTCATAATGGATCTCTCGTCCACCCAACCACAACAATATCATAATGGATCGCTCACCCACTCTACCACAACAATGCCATAATGGATCTCTCACCCACTCTACCACAACAATATCATAATGGATCTCTCACCCACTCTACCACAACAATGTCATGATGGATCTCTCACCCACTCTACCACAACAATGTCATGATGGATCTCTCACCCACTCTACCACAATAATGTCATGATGGATCTCTCGTCCACTCTACCACAACAATGTCATGATGGATCTCTCACCCACTCTACCACAACAATGTCATGATGGATCTCTCACCCGCTTTATGACAAAAATGTCATAATGGATCTCTCGCCCACTCTACAACAACGATGTCATGATGGATCTCTCACCCACTCTACCACAATAATGTCATGATGGATCTCTCGTCCACTCTACCACAACAATGTCATGATGGATCTCTCACCCACTCTACCACAACAATGTCATGATAGATCTCTCACCCGCTTTATGACAAAAATGTCATAATGGATCTCTCGCCCACTCTACCACAACAATGTCATGATGGATCTCTCACCCACTCTACCACAACAATGTCATAATGGATCTCTCACCCATCCTACCACAACAATGTCATAATGGATCTCTCGTCCACTCTACCACAACAATGTCATGATGGATATCTCACCCAAACTAAAACTACAATGTCATGATGGATCTCTCACCCACTCTACCACAACGATGTCATGATGGATCTCTCACCCACCCAACCACAACAATGTCGTAATGGATCTCTCACCCACTCTACCACAACAATGTCATGATGGATCTCTCACCCACTCTACCAAAACAATGTCAGAATGGAACTTTCACCCACCCAACCACAAAAATGTCATAATGGATCTCTCACCCACTCTACCACAACAATGTCATAATGGAACTATCCCCCACTCTACCACAACAATGTCATAATGGATCTCTCGTCCACTCTACCACAACAATGTCATGATGGATCTCTCACCCACCCTACCACAACAATGTCCAAATGGAACTCTCACCCACTTTACCACAACAATGTCATAATGGATCTCTCACCCACTCTACCACAACAATGTCATGATGGATCTCTCACCCAGTCTACCACAACAATATCATAATGGATATCTCACCCAAACTAAAACTACAATGTCATGATGGATCTCTCACCCACTTTACCACAACAATGTCATGAAGGATCTCTCACCCACTCTACCACAACAATGTCATAATGGAACTCTCACCCACTCTATCACAACAATGTCATAATGGATCTCTCGTCCACTCTACCACAACAATGTCATGATGGATCTCTCACCCACCCTATCACAACAATGTCATAATGGATCTCTCGTCCACCCAACCACAACAATATCATAATGGATCGCTCACCCACTCTACCACAACAATGCCATAATGGATCTCTCACCCACTCTACCACAACAATATCATAATGGATCTCTCACCCACTCTACCACAACAATGTCATGATGGATCTCTCACCCACTCTACCACAACAATGTCATGATGGATCTCTCACCCACTCTACCACAATAATGTCATGATGGATCTCTCGTCCACTCTACCACAACAATGTCATGATGGATCTCTCACCCACTCTACCACAACAATGTCATGATGGATCTCTCACCCGCTTTATGACAAAAATGTCATAATGGATCTCTCGCCCACTCTACAACAACGATGTCATGATGGATCTCTCACCCACTCTACCACAATAATGTCATGATGGATCTCTCGTCCACTCTACCACAACAATGTCATGATGGATCTCTCACCCACTCTACCACAACAATGTCATGATGGATCTCTCACCCGCTTTATGACAAAAATGTCATAATGGATCTCTCGCCCACTCTACCACAACAATGTCATGATGGATCTCTCACCCACTCTACCACAACAATGTCATAATGGATCTCTCACCCATCCTACCACAACAATGTCATAATGGATCTCTCGTCCACTCTACCACAACAATGTCATGATGGATATCTCACCCAAACTAAAACTACAATGTCATGATGGATCTCTCACCCACTCTACCACAACGATGTCATGATGGATCTCTCACCCACCCAACCACAACAATGTCGTAATGGATCTCTCACCAACTCTACCACAACAATGTCATGATGGATCTCTCACCCACTCTACCAAAACAAAACAATGTCAGAATGGAACTTTCACCCACCCAACCACAACAATGTCATAATGGATCTCTCACCCACTCTACCACAACAATGTCATAATGGAACTATCCCCCACTCTACCACAACAATGTCATAATGGATCTCTCGTCCACCCAACCACAACAATATCATAATGGATCGCTCACCCACTCTACCACAACAATGCCATAATGGATCTCTCACCCACTCTAACACAACAATATCATAATGGATCTCTCACCCACTCTACCACAACAATGTCATGATGGATCTCTCACCCACTCTACCACAACAATGTCATAATGGAACTATCCCCCACTCTACCACAACAATGTCATAATGGATCTCTCGTCCACTCTACCACAACAATGTCATGATGGATCTCTCGTCCACTCTACCACAACAATGTCATGATGGATCTCTCACCCACTCTACCACAACAATGTCATGATGGATCTCTCACCCACTCTACCACAACAATGTCATGATGGATCTCTCGTCCACTCTACCACAACAATGTCATGATGGATCTCTCACCCACTCTACCACAACAATGTCATGATGGATCTCTCACCCGCTTTATGACAAAAATGTCATAATGGATCTCTCACCCACTCTACAACAACGATGTCATGATGGATCTCTCACCCACCCTATCACAACAATGTCATAATGGATCTCTCGTCCACCCAACCACAACAATATCATAATGGATCGCTCACCCACTCTACCACAACAATGCCATAATGGATCTCTCACCCACTCTACCACAACAATATCATAATGGATCTCTCACCCACTCTACCACAACAATGTCATGATG